GAACTGCTGACCTTGCGGTTCGCAGCCCGATTTGTAGCCACTACGCTACCAGAACTCCTTAGGTGCCATCAAGTCAGTACCAACTCACAGCGACCCTATGCACAGCAGAATGAAACACTGCCTGATCCTGGGCCAGCCTAACTATCAGTGCTTAGCTTAGTTAGGCCCTACCAAAGACCAGTTAAATTATATATGTGTGTTTTTTTAAGAATGACAGAGAAGCTAGGGATATATTATAGGCTGCTTGCTATTTTTGCTTTGTGATATATTTTTGTTTGTTAATATTTTTCCATTGCTTTGTTTTGGAAAATAGGCCAAGCATTTGATTCCAAAAGTTATGAGGGGACTTAAAAAGCTCAAAGAAAAATGAAATTAAAATCTAAAACATAAACTTGATGTCTAAACATAAGCTCCATCAAGGTCAAGACACTTCTGTAAATGATGATACCTGCCATTGTTGTTCTTAAGTGCCATCAAGTTCATTCCAACTTATAGTGACCCTGTATAGGGTTTCTGAGGAGCCGATGGTGGGTTTGAACTGCCAACTTTGTGGTTCGCAGTTCAGTGCTGATCCTATGGTGCCAAACCAGAAGTCCACCTAATGTAGTGTTGTAAGATAACTATTTAATCCATCATGGAAGCAGCAGGCAAGAAAGCAAAAGATATATTGTACCAGGTAAATCTGCTGCACAAGATCTTTTTAAAGTGTTGAAGAGCAAAGATGTCAGCTTGAGGACTAAGGTGCACTTGACCCAAGCCATGGTATTTTCAATAACCTCATATGCATGAGAAAGCTGGACAGTGAATAAGGAAGGCCATAGAAGAATTGATGCCTTTGAGTAATGGTGATGGAGGAGAACATTGAAAGTGCCATGGGCTGTCAAAAGAACCAACAGATCCGTGTTGGAAGAAGTGCAGCCAGAGTGCTCCTTGAGGCCAAGATGGCCAAACCTCGTCTCTCATACTTCAGACATATTGTCAGGAGGGACCAGTCACTGAAGAAGGATATTATATTTGATAGGGTGGAGGGTCAGAGGAAAAAAGGAAGCCCCACCCCCCGCAATCCCCTGCCCAGTGAGATGGAATGGCAAAGTGGCAGCATCAATGGGCTAAAGTGTGAGAACAATTGTGAGATTGACCAGGACCTGGCGGTGTTTCATTCTGTTGTGCATAAGGTCGCTATGAGTCAGTACCAACTCAATGGCATCTAACAACAACAATGTAGTGCTGTAGGATCAACACTGGACTGCTAACTACAAGATCAGTGGTTCAAACCCACCAGTCACTCCTTGGAAACCCTATACAGAATCTCTAAGGGTTGGAACAGCACTTAACAACAATAAAGAACTGAGAGTCCTGGGGATTAAACCAGGTCAATGCAGTCTCTTTGCATTATTAACTGAAGAAAATAGGTGCCCTAAAAAGATTAAAAAATAAATAAATAAAAAGTCAGAAGAAGCCAAATCAATACTATAAAGTGGATGCCTAATGATTTCTCATCGAAACTCACATGAAATTGCCCTTGTTTAATTAGATGAATGGGCAGGAACATTGTTGTGGTAGAGGAGGACTCTGGTGAAGCTTTCCCAAGCATTTTACTCTTAAAACTTTGCCTCACTTTTTCATAATAAGAAGATGTTATTATGAGGAGTCCTGGTGTGGCATTGTGGGTTAATGCACCAGACTGCAAAGCAGTTTGAACTGCAAGGTCAGTGGTTCAAGCTCACCAGCTGCTCCTCGGAAACCCTATACAGGGTCACTAAGGGTCAGAATCTGCTTGACGGCACTTAACAACAACAACATTATTCTTCGGTCCTCCAGAAAATCAACAAGCAGAATGCCTGAGCATCTCCAACACTCTCAAAATAAGATGTTTTCATTATTTGGTCCTCCAGGAAGTCAACAAGGAGAATGCCTGAGCACCCCCAACACTCTCATAAGAAGAAGATATTTTCATTATTTGGTCCTCCCTAAAGTCTACAAGCAGAATGCCTGAGCATCCCCAAAACCTTAGTCATGACCTTTGTTCTTGACTGGCCCACTTTTGCTTTTAAACTGGATCATGTCCACTCTTGTTAGCCATTGCTTTGATTATGCCTTGCCTTCAGGAGCATACTCGTAAAGCCATATTTCATCTCCTGCTACAATTCTTGCAAGAAATGCTTCAGGATCTTGATTCTACTTGTTTAAAATTTCAATTGAAAACTCTGCTCTTATCTGCAGCTAATCTGGGCATAATAGTTTGGCACCCATCAAGTAGAAATTTGGTTCAACTTTGATTTTTCAGTCAGTATTTTGTAAGCTGAACCAATTGGCATGTCTATGGGGTTAGCTGTTGTTTCTATTGTTAATCATCAGTCCTCTTCAATCAGGGAATGTACAAGATGATTTTTTTTCTCTCAAATTGATGTAGATCGTCTGCCGCTAAGGGCTTCATCTTCAACATCATCTTGTCCCTTCTTAAACTGGGTTATTCATTTAAAAACTGAAGATTTCTTTGGGGTATTGTCCCCATACACTTTTCATCAAGCATCAATGACATCACCAGTCTTTCACCCACGTTTCACCTTACGTTTGAAGGTTACTTCAATTTTAGCAGAATTCATGTTGTTCTGATAGGGGCTCTTTTCAAACTGGTAGCTTATCCTTCTTAGTATGAGACTGTTTTGACGTACGAAAAAGTTGAAATCCATGCATAGTTTTTTCATAATATATATTTCCCATGAACTTTTAGAAGACTCCTTGTATTAATCTAGATAATTCTAGTTACATGTAGATGAGAGAATGGAGTAGGGAAAGACATTTTCTGTGAACGTTTAGTATACTCCTCAAATTAACCTAGATTAAGTATCTTAAACAAGTGGAGGAAGACTGGAGTGGGACCCAATAGGGAACAAACTTATTTAGTTGCTATCAGACTGAGTCAGCAGAAGGGTCCTGATCAAATGGGACATCACACTGAGCAGTTTAGTTACAGATGCAGTCTTGGTGTTGTGAAAGTGAAGACAGGCTGAAGACATTACAAAAGCATCTTCAAGCACCAGTCTGTGCATGTTCATTAGGCACACTGCACATATAATTTCATTTCTTGGGTCACTTCTTATGGACAGAATAGCCCTTACATCAGGTACTATTTACTTTACAGAGTTTAGAATTCAGCTTAAAATCATCTCTTTTCAAAAAGAAAAAGAATGAATCATCAAAGCTCAATAATGTTTTTTTAAAAGTAAAATAAAATAGTTATCCAGGATCTACAACTAAACATCCTTCCTCCCTGCCTCTCTTCCTGCAAATACAGTACTTGAGTTATTAAAGGATTTTTACCTTCTAATGGCACTGCCAACATCTCTGCTGAATAATAGAAATTAGACAAAAGCTGTGGAGAGTCAGAAGGCAGTCCTGTGTGGCAGCCATATGAACATTGCAGAATATAAAAAGTAGATGTTCTTAAAACTCCCATTTTCAGCAGGAAAGACTATGAAATAGTAATTACCGATCTTTTCTATTGAAAAGGAATAAAACTCAACTTGACAACTGCACTTTAAAAGCACTCAAAAGGAACAGCAAGGTGCAAATTTTCTGTGAAAACTGCAGACCCTCATTAGTCATCCGGTGACAAGTGAAAGGAAAATGGGAAGACAGAGTCCACCCACCTCGTCTCGGAATCTTGCTGCATTCAGTTCTACGAAATCCTCGCTGTAGTTCACTGAGAAGTTGAGGGCATTCACCAGATGAGCAGCCACATGCACACCTAGAGAAGCACACCAGGCACAAGTCAGTGGGATATGTGCTACACCAAGAAGTTAGCTCCTCTCCCTAGGTAAATCCAAGGTCAAACTTTGGCAGCTATTCAAGTAGTGGATCACTGAAGAAATGAGGAAAGCCTGACTATACAAAAATGATTTGGTATTAGAAATCATGGAGAAAAGCCAAGATTTCAAGGGCTGGAATGAATAATCCTAGCAAGTAATGCCCAGAAAGTATTTTCATATATGCATAGATAAATACATTAAACACACAAGCATATATGTATAAAATGTATGTATGCATGCATGCATATAGCTTCTGGATATTTTAGATGCTCTATCTTTCACCCCTCCCAAAGTGCTGACCAAGCTAGATATCTTATATATACTCTATCTCTATCTCTACAGAAGACCATAGAAGAGTTGATACATTTGAGTTATGGTGTTAGAGAAGAATATTAAAAGGACCATTGACTGCTAGAAGAACAAATAACTCTGTACTAGAACAAATACAGCCAGAAGGCTCTTTAGAAGCCAAGATGGCTACACTTTACCTCTCATACTTCAGACACGCTATCAGGAGGGACCAGTACCTGGAGAAGGACATCATGCTAGGTAAAGTCAAAAAGAGGAAGACTCCCAAACAAGATGGCTTGGAATAGTAGCAGCAGCGATGGGCATAAACTTATCAACAATTGTGAGGAAGACACAGGACCTGACAGTGTTTCATTCTGATGTGCACAAGGTCGCTGTGAGTCAGAACCAACTCAATGGCACATAACAAGAATAAACTGTTATTTAATAAGTCATACCTAAAATAGGAACCTGGTAGTGTAGTGTGTTACAAGTTGGGCTGCTAACCACAAGGTCAGCAGTTCAAATCTATCAGTCACTCTGCTGGAGAAAGATGAGGGTTTCTGTTCCCTTAAAGATGGACAGCCTAGGAAAGACTATATATATATATATATATATATATATATATATATATATATATATATATATATATATATATATATATATATACACACACACACACACATAACCACAACCAAAACTAGAATATAGGTCATAGATTCAAATCATCGCATAATAAATCTATGACAGCACTTCATGGAGCAAATACCTCAAAAAAACAATACTCACACTGAATAAATAATTTACCTTACAGGTATTGCCATTCTTTCTGAATTCTCTTAAAAACTAGTTTTATGAGACAACAGCCTTAAGGAAAACGTTCAAGTTCTTTAAAAGGCATTGTAGTTCAAAAGACTTCAGGGCCTCTAATTTTAAACAATAGGAGGAAGTATGTCAGGCACTTTGCACAAATTATCTCATTTAATTTTCTATGAAGTACTAAAAGCAACCTTATTTTAAGGATACAAAAAACTGAAGGTTAAGAAAGATAATTTAGGCAGTCAGACTACTAGAGAGCAGCAGAATTCAACCCTCTTTATCCAACTCCAAAGCGCACACTCAGTCATGGCCATACCATACCATCTCAGTATCTTGAATGTTCTCCAACTGAACCAGAATATTTTGGATACAAATCCAGATGGAGCAAATCAAGTAAAAAATGTGGGGAAATTCCCTGATCCTTTTCCATTTCTAATCTCTCACCTTCATTTTCTCTAACCCTAATCCAAGAATCTCTGGGTAGTCTAAATGGTTACTGTACTTCACTGTTAACAAAAAGGCTAGAGGTTTGAGTCCACCCAGATGTGCCTCAAAACAAAGTTCTGGCAACCAACTCCTGAAACACCAGTTACCGAAAACGCTATGGAGCACAGTTCTTCAAGGTACACATGGAATCACCATGAGTAGGAATTAACTCTACAGCAACTGGTTTAGTCTAGTTTTTGACCTGAATCCATCTGTAATCCTTATTGTATATCATTTATATATAGAGTAGCGTAGTGGTTACGAATCGGGCTGTGAACCTCAGGGTCAGCAGTTCGAAACTACCAGCCGTTCCGTGGGAGAAAGATGAGGCTTTCTGCTCCTGTAAAGATTTACAGCCTAGGTAACCCTGTACAGGGGCGCTATGAGTCGGAACCGACTCCATGGCACATTACAACAACAACAACAATATAGATAAATATAGATAGATATAATGTAGCATAGTGGTTACAAATCAGGCTACAAAATGCAATGCCAGCAGTTCAAAACTACCAGCTGCTCAGTGCGTAAAGATGAGGCTTTCTGCTCCTGTAAAGATTTACAGCCTAGGTAACCCTGTACAGGGGCGCTATGAGTCGGAACCGACTCCATGGCACATTACAACAACAACAACAATATAGATAAATATAGATAGATATAATGTAGCATAGTGGTTACAAATCAGGCTACAAAACACAAGGTCAGCAGTTCAAAACTACCAACTGTTCCGTGGGAGAAAGATGAGGCTTTCTGGTCCTGTAAAGACATACAACCTTGGAAACCCTGTACAGGGTCATTATGAATTGGAAACGACTCCAAAGCACATAACCACTACCACCACCAATATGTATAAATGGAGTTTGGGTGTGGCCTGTGAGTTAATGCACTAGACTGCAAAGTCATTTGAACTGTACGGTTGGCAGTTCAAGCTCACCAGCCATTCCTCAGAAACCATATACAGGGTCGCTATGCATCAGAACTGACTGGATGGCACTTAACAACAACAATATGTATAAGGAGTCCTGGTGTGGTACTGTAGAATAAGCACTTGACTTCATGATGGGTTTGAACCACAAGGTCAGTGGTTCAAACCCACCATCCACTTCTTGGAAACCCTATACTAGGTTGCTATGAGTCCGAACCAATTCAATGGCACTTAAAAACAACAACAAAAATATGTATACGCATTGAGCTACTAACCACAGCGTTAACAGTTCAAACCCACCAGCTGCTCCTCAGAAACCCTCTACAATATCACTATGAGTTAGAACCAACTCAACTGTGCTTAACAACAAAAATAACGATATGCATATAATTATATACATACAGGGACACCTAGTGGGGTGCTGTAGGATCAGCATTGGACTGCAAACCACAGCTGCTCCTCAGAAACCTATACAGGGTCACTATAATTTGGAGCCAACTCAATGGCACTTAAGAACAACATGTATA